AGGAACCGCATTACCCTGAACCAGAATGAGACTTGTGATATAACCTTGAATAACATCATATTATATTTTCACAAAAAAGTTAAAGCAAAATGTATATCTAGATTAAATTGCTTTGGTTTGAGATGGATTATTGCTGTTAGAATAATTATATTTATTTCAATGGATATAAGGAATAATGTAGAGTCAAGAAATGCCACATTTAGTGATGTCTGATAAAATGCCATGGGACTTGGTTATAATTAAAAAAAGTAATCTATCTTTCCCATGAGTGATTAAATGATGCTGCGTTTGTGCACATCAGGATTAGCTTGTTAAGTTCTGTAGCTAATTGTTAGCAATGAATGAGATTTGCATAGACATTAGCGTCAAGCTAGCCTTCTTTTCTGACTTTGGACACATGAAGTTGTCTGGTTATATTATGGTGACTGAATATGTACGGTAAGGTTTCCCCCAGAAAACTTGCTAATCCCGCTGAATTTTTGAGTTAAAAAAATTATTAAAGTTGACAGGAAATTTGAAAATATCACTTGAAGATTACTATCTGAACACCAACTATAAAGTCTTAAAAAATAACAGGAACCCTGTCTGTGTCTAGTCAGGTCTGGTTTCACTGGTTTGCGGTAGAGATTTGAAGCATTCATAATCTTAAAGACAAAAGATAAATTGATTTTTGGTCCTTTGGCTTTGTTTTTTGCAACATGTCCTTCTAAAACCAAGACTTTTCTATCTGGAAAATCAGTAAATACAGATGAGCTGCTTTCCTCTGCTTACAATCTTAATTTTAAGAAAACATAATCCTCTGCACACGGCTCTTTACAGCCATAATGGGCACGAGATGCTTGTTTTAATCATGTATCCTCCCCCAAACTCATTTAATATAAAAATGTATTCTGAAGATTATCCAAAGCCACTGTGGGTCTTTGGCAGTGAGCATGGTCAGACAGAACGACTTATGTTTTTCTTTTTTCAAACACCGTCAGTGATTTAGAACGAGGGAAGCTTCTTCAGGTCCGTACTCCATGTCTGGTGACGCCTTCCCTCCGATTCCCTAATTGCATAGTATGTTTCCTCTCTCTTGCTTCTACTAGAGAGGTGACTTAAGCAGCTTTTCTCTTACCATCACGGCTGTCACGATGCCTGACCGCCGGGAGACGACTTGATCTGAGACCACTGTGTCGCATCAGCTTTGGGATGTCAAACCTGATTCAGAGAGGCTGGCCGGGACGTCAGTAAAAACCTGTCAGCTCTCATCACAGTCATGCCTGTGGTAGCATGAGTTGTTTAGCGTGGGTTTCCCACTGAACCGACCACACAGGAAAGCATCAGCTCCGCATCCAGCAGCAGAAAATGTAGCAAAACCTAATGTTAAATACTTCCTGTGACCCAGCTTTTGTACCAAAGTGTTAAATAATTTGTGAGAATCCTTAGAATGTATTAATATGTAGTTATTTTTTGAGTAAAAACACTTGGCGCTCATTAGATCTCTTTTCAGTTCAGTTAAAAAATACCCAAAGTAAAGTTAAATGTCTGAAATATCTTCAGAGGTATTGTACATAGAGGATCTCCTGTAGCAGTCTGTATTGAAGCAGTTCTGTTGAAGCCTCTGACTGTAGCATGAGGATCTCTTGAGGAGGATGTTCAGGGTCGTCTGTAGAGTTCCTCATTTTATGAATAATCTGTTGTTGTTCCACAGCAAAACAGAACCATCCTTCTTTCTCACCTTGTTTAACCTTTTTTATTTGCTAGCTCTGATGCTAACAACTATTTACTCAAGTGAAAAAAAGTGTAGATGACAAAGTTGGTGTTTAATCCTAAATTCTTCGCTTAGGATTTTGTAGACATTGGATCCTGTTTTCTGCTAAACAGAAAATAAGATATTGAACCAAAACAAGAACTGACATCTAAAAGATTCTCTAGAATCCAACAGAAAACTCCAAAATCCTGCTTCTATACATGAAAGCCATTTATCCTTTTTGACTTTTCTGTTTACAAATATGCTGTTTTTTGTAATTTCTCCCACCATCTAAGGCAGAACCCGCTGTTAGTTCAGCCTTGCTTTTAAAAAGTCACCTCTATTGACGATGACAGAAGAAGAGGGGAGGCGAAGCGTCCCTCCAGGCTGTGGGGGTCGTTATGAAACATCCTGCTTTAGACGGCGCCATTTTGTACCCAGAAAACGAAATGGTGCCATTTATTTTTAATTCGGAAACACTCTGGATTCTAAGCAGTGTGTCTGCGAGTCTATGCAAACTTAAACTTGGTGATCACAAGGTTTCCCCCAGAAAACTTGCTAAGCCTGGTGGGGGCGCTCTGCAGTCATTCATTCAGTGGCCCGACATGTTTTTGAGTTTTGAAATGTTTAAAGTTGACAGGAAATTTGAAAATATCACTTGATGATTGTGTTATTGTAAGATTAATATCAAAACAACAACTATAAAGTCTTGAAATATGCAAACATAAAAAAAAAACTTCAATGAATAAACAATGCTAAGCCTGGTGGCCCGCCAGGCTTATAATACACTGGGGGAAACGCTGGATCACAATTTATTGGATATATTTTCATCTAAATTTAAGTGCGCGTTTAGGATATTTTAGAAGCGGCACTAAAATGTGGGTACATTTATAAACTTGTTTTGGATTTTACTTGTTTATATTTTTGCATATGTTTGAGGCAACTCACTAATATTTTAGTGCAGTAAATGTATTTAAATTTTTAAAACAATCTCCATTTCTGAAGTTTGTAAAGTACATTTGTGTTAGTTTTGCACCTCAGATGATAAAAGTAGCTTAATGTTGATTTACTTGGAAAATAAGAATTAAACCTGGTGAAGCGGTCGTTAAAAAACATAAGTTTCTCTGTCTGCTTAAAAAATATCTCCATCCAGTAGAATAGGGAACATCGGCTCAGATTTCATGAACTTCTTGCGTCGGTAAATCAATATCTCATTTCTGGTGTCATAAAATGACATTGGGCTAAACAGGAACTCCTCCAGGTCAGGCATGCAGAATCAGCTCTTCTTTAGCGTGATGTAATGCTTCTTTCCACTTCCTTCCCAGCAGTATTTCACATTTGGGTTCAAGTGAAGCTCAGTTTAATCTCCGTGCAGCAGCTCAGGATGAAACATTTCTGACCCAAGGCTACTGCACTGAAGAAAAAGAAAAATGCAAGCTACACTGAAAAGAAATTATTCCATTCTTTCATGGTTTAGGAAATAAATAACTGAAAGTTTTTTAAGTTTATTTCTGACCTCATGCTGAGCTTTTACATCAAATATTACAGCCCGGTTGCTAATAAATGAGGTTTTTATAGATGCTAACATGAAGCTAGCGTTCTTTTCTGACCTCTCCAGGTGGCAGTGTGCATGCAGGTGTGTGGTTTGATGAATTTGGAGGACAGTGAAGTCAGTCGAAGACAGTCGATTTGTAGGCCGTATTTTCTCTGCTCCTTGCATTACGTCACAAGCCAAAATGTTTGCCTACTTTTCAACAAGCCCACTTCTGCGTTGGCTTCTTTCAGCGCATTATGATAATGTGATTGCTGTAGCACAACATCTGCCAGGTGCATAACAACATGTTTGTGTTCAGCTGGAATTGTCTTTGTGGAAAACAGTTTCTTGGTGCAGATCCAAATTCATTAGGTGTTTAATACATAAGATAAACAGCGTCTGCAGGTCTTGGTGTGTGTGTGTGGAGTTGATTTTTATGCATTAGCAGGACAAAACTGTGTGTGTGTTGAATAAATGCCAGATATAATTGTGACTGTTACATGAGCAGCTTTTTTCTATTGTCTCATTTAGTTGGTATCCGTGGGCAGCACACACCATCTGCAACTTTGGCCCCGTCCCACAGTCTGACACACATAATGAAATAAAACATGTCATCTTCCCTGTTTTTTTTTTTTTTGTGGAGCTAGTTGACATATAGATACAATTGCAGCTCTTTATCTTTATTAAAGTTGCTCTTTCAGACTCAGTAAGTCCTGCAGCTTCTCTTCAGGCTAAATCTAGAAAATAAAAAATATCTAAAATTGGCTCCCAACTCCCTTTGCACTGGTCAACACTCCATACAATAAAGTTGTACGGATGCTTTCTGTCAGGTTGAGCAGAAAGCACCCAGCTGCACATAGGCAGTAAATAATCGGTGCTCCTATCTGCCGGCTGCAGATGGAAACGGTCCGGCCTCCTTCTGCTGTTTACTGCCCTTAAATATCCTGGTCCAGACGCTTGCTGTAAATGTCACCCCGTTGTAGCTCAACAAACAATTAAAGAGACTCATCTGTGCTTTCAACATGTTGAATTAATGTTGTAGGTCAACAGTTTTCTTGTTTTGTATGAATTTCATGTCAAAACTGCAATAATATGCCACCCTGCAGTGAGCAGAGATAGGAAAAGTGGAAACAAATGTCGATTGTGTCTAAGTTGGGTGCTGTTTTAGGAAGTTGGAAGTTTTTCCCAGTTGCAGACCTTGACTGCAGCAGGATGCATCTGCAAGGTTGTTTGAGCAGGAGCTGTCCGAGCAGGTGTAGGAGGTTAGCGCTGGCGTTTTCTGTCATGAAACGCTAGAATCACTGAACCACATTTTCTAAACCAGCTTGTTAACGATCGACGATGTTGAATTGTGACCTTATCCAGTCTGCTTTTGGCTGTGGCTTCATATCAGATGTAAATGTGTGGTTAGCTCTTACCTTTTCAAAGCCGTAGACTCTGTGTGTCCATGTAGAACGCTGCCAGCCTCTTCCTGTTTGCTGTGTAAATCCCTCACTGCTTTGCTTTGATAGGTTTACTGCATAAACAGGTTTACACACAGGCTTTATGTTTGTGATGACAGATTAGCGCTTCTATTTGATGTTTGGTTCTTTAATTTGGTTCCTCAGGTCGCTAATATTAGCTATGGTATGCTAGGCGATTTGTTCATGTCATAAACGTAGTTGAAAAAAGTACAAATTGAGCAATAATGGACTTAAAAGTTACTTGTAATTTTAAGTGTACCAAGATAAAAAATACAAAAATACCAAGATTCTGTGTTTTTGCAGCTTTTATTAATCTCATCCATGCCCATGATTAGTCAGAGTAAACTTTAGGTCATTTCTGTGCACCATTTAATCAGCAAAGGTGTAAACATAGATGTTGGACTGTGAATGGATAGAAGAAGTGCTAAAGATTAATAATCATTTTCTATTTGTTGTAGTGGCTGTTTTAAGGATCTGGAGTTCCTGACGTCACAGCCTGGATTTAAATCCTACATGAAGTAAGTGTTTAATAAGCCAAACAAAACTGAACATGAAAAGCAATTGGGCTTGAAAAGTTAAACTTTTCTTGCAGCATTATGAGGTTGCACTCGTAATTTGCCTCTAAAGTTAATTAAAATGGAAACAATTCATGACATCTTGAGAATAAATATGGTTGTACAAGTCAGATTTTATTTCATGTGCTTTACACGGATATAAATAATGGCCCAAATTACAAAAATCAGTGTGCTGGAAGCCCAAGCCTATATTTATATATATATATATATATATATATATATATATATATATATATATATATATATATATTAGTAAATCAGCAGTGATGTCACCATATGATCCATATTTTCACTCAAAATACAACCTCTACAATCTACCACTTTTTGACATGTCAAACCTTTATTTTGGTACCTTGTTTCCAGTGCCATGTACTGCAAAGTCTTTATTCTTTTCTCTTTACATTTCATGTATCAACAATGAGTTGGCAAAATATCTATGTACATTTTATAGTTGGATAATGTTTCATCCAAATAATACAGTAATACTGCGTTTAAAATAGTACATCTGCAAGGTAAGAGAAGAGCCCCATGAGAAATGGAGGTTGACCTGACCTAGGAATTAGCAAGCAACCTGCAACATTCACTCTCTGTACAAGTATGAACATTGAAACTCAGATTTGATTTATTTTTTTGTTAAAGGATTGCCATCATTCTCAGGCTCAAAGTTTTCATCTCAGCATATCATAGAAAAATAATGTAACATTAAGACAACAGTAGACAAGAATTGCACAAGGATTATCATCATGGTAATATAATACTCTCATAATAAACATTAAAATGTCGGGCAATACGAATATTTTTTTTTAACACTAGATGCTGTTTTGTTCACGTCGGCTTCTCATGACAAATCTGTTGCATCTTTAGCGTGTTGTTGCAGCAAATCCAATCACATTTACACAGTTGTGCATATGTTGTTGTTTTTTATTCTGACATTTAAAGAAAATAAAAAGAAATTAGCCAGCCAGATATCCTGGAACCCATGCCAAAGTGTTAAACATGCCCACTGATGTCCTGTTTCCGTTTCCAGAGTTCAAGCATCATGCCTCCCAGGTGGGCTGCATAAAACCGATCCCACTAGAGTCTCAGATATCCGAGGCTGCTTTCAAGTAAGTGTACATTCAGAGCAGACGGGTCGTCTTATCGCAACGCTGTCCTGTTAGTGTGTGTGGATGGGTGGGAACGTTTTGTAGTCAACCTCAAAACATTGTGGAGCAGCGTCCATGTTTGTTTCTAAAAAGTGAGCATGAGGGTCCGTTTGCAGTCCATTTTGCATTGTAAGTGTGACAAGGTCCATGAATAGGGCTGGCTACATTCTTTGCATTCCACAGTAATAGACATGAGCGTCCGCCATTGCCCTGCAAAATGAGATGACATCACTTATCCAGAGAGCCCTCACACCCCGCCTCTCCACTGGCCACCTTGCTCAGCAAATCCAAAATGGCCATCATGCGTCCCACAAGCCACATGCTATACCGTCTACACACGAGTTTCTTTCCCCATCCCTTAAATAAACTAGGAGCGCCTCGGTTTGTCCTGAACACATAAACAAACGTGTTGAAAAAAGACCTTAGAAAAACAAAAACAGTAACATCTGCCTGTGTCACAGGTCAAGTTTAAAGTCTAATTTCACAAAGAAATTCACAAGTTTGTTAGTTTCTCCAAAAAAGTAACTTGATATCAAGAATCAAAAAGTTAATACATTCTAGTAGCCTGCTAGCTGAATCAGCTTCAGTCAAAGTTACGCTGTGCTACAGCCTCTCTTTTTTTTAAAAAATGCTGTAAAAGCTTGTTGTCCCGTTCAGACAACATCCCTCGTCTTTGTCGGCTTAACAGACAGCTAAAACACTGTTACAGCTCTTAGAGCAGTACTCTTTGTTAAATCTTTAAAGTTGTCAGAAACAGTTAGGCGAAGGGGCTGATGTGAAGAGTACGGAAGAGGATTAGGGAACCTAACAGTTCTGACTTTAATCTCGGAATTCTGAGATTGAAGTCAGAATTCTGACTTTTTATAATCTAGATAGAGATATAGTCTAGATTTTTTTTTCTAGATTTTATGTTGAGATATCTAGATAGATATAATCTAGATTCTTTTTCTAGATTTTATGTCGAGATATTATCTAGATAGATATAATCTAGATTCTTTTTCTAGATTTTATGTCGAGATATCTAGATAGATATAATCTAGATTCTTTTCTAGATTTTTTTCTAGATTTTATGTCGAGATATAATCTGGATTCTTTTTCTAGATTTTTTTCCTAGATTTTATGTCGAGATATTATCTAGATAGATATAATCTAGATTTTTTTTTCTAGATATGTAGATAGAGATATAGTCTAGATTTTATCTAGATCAGAATTCTGGGATTAAAGTCTGAACTGTTTTAAAAAAAATTCCTAGTGGCCCTAATCCTCTTCCGTAGAAGAGAAAAGCGAGGGATGGAGCTTAAAAACGGAGAGATAAGAAGCTAAAGGCAGAGCAACTGAACAAAAAACTGAGCTGACCATCCCCCTACAGGTGGAGTCAGAAATGCACCACTACCCTGGGTTCAAAGGTCATGCGATAGCCCTGCAGGCAGGAGGACGAGGCCTAGGAGAGCAGAAAGAAAAAGAGAACGCAGCGCCAATCGTCATCATGCAGTGGACAGGCTGCGCTAACAGGGACAGGGGGGACAAGGTGTAAAGTATTTGTTTTTCAGCCGGTGAGGTGATGCGGCGGCGTGCGTCGCTTGTGCCCAACTCCGGGGCCGGGCCCCGATACAGGGCAACTTCTGAAAGGCACACACACACAGGAGTGGACAAGGCGGGTGTATGTTAGAAAATAGTGGTCTCGTACTTGGTGTTGACTCCTCTCTTTGCTTCCTGTCCAGGCTCCACAATCCACGGCACGTTAGCATGGCCCTTCTGGTCCATTGACGGCTGCTCCATCTGGACAAGACAGAAAATCAGACATAAGCTAAATAAAGTCCTGTTTAACTTGCAGCGTCCTCCACTATGATGAACATCCTCTAGTTTGAGTGCAATTCGTTGCTATGCACTGGGACAGGGCGTCCTGACCTTTTGGAAAGTAAACAGGCCTCCACTGCTCTTAACAGTGGACATGAGCTGCTTTTGGCATCAGACTCGTGAATCTACACAAAAAGAAAAAGCAGCTAATGGCTACTGACAAGCATGATGGGAGATCTGTGATGCCGTTTCTCTTCCAAAAGTCCAAAGAACCTTTTTGGTGCATACAGAGGCTTTTTATTTACACATCTGGTGGACTCTGTACATAAACAGAAATCTGATTACAATCTAGTCAAAAGAAGCGCTAACACTTTATTTGAAGGGATGCATAAGACTGACATTAACACCTGTTATGAACATAAAGGAGTATGTTTGACTGTGTCATGAGGGGTAATTTGGAAAATAATGACACTTAATGCAACTTTTAAAGCAACTTTGCATCAAGTGTCATTATTTGCTGAAAGACACTTCATGACAAGAGCCATAAACAATCATAAATACTCCATGTTCATGACAGGTGCTATATTTATGATGGTCTCATGCACACCCCTTCAAATAAAGTGTTGCCAAAGAACCAAACAAATGGTTTGTAAGAGACAAAATTCAACTTCTTCCACGACTACCATGATGTAGAACTCGACCCAGAACAACTGGAACCAACATCTAGTTTTTAAATTATGGACTATTTATTCTTATTAAACATGGGGAACCAATGTTTAGTTTTATATTTCCTTCTAACTCATGTAAAGCACTTTGAACTGCCTTGTTGCTTGAATTATGCTATATAAATAAAATTATTTGACCTAAATCCTCCAGGATTGTTTTGGGTTGAGCTCAAGAGGATCCAAACAAAACGCTTAAAGGTTTATGGATGCCCCAACTACATATACTGCTGTTCAATTGACAAAAGCCATATTAAAACTTCTACAAATGAACCTGTTGTATTTCTGGTTTTTCAGTGATATTTTAATGTTTATCTGTTCGACTCTCTTTCTGTTCAAGCGCTAAATGGAAACTGAGGGACACAGAACAGACTGAAACACTAAAGCCGAGGCAAGAGAAATAGGTTAGCTTTTTTTTCACAGCTGTTACTAAAATATGAATATGGATACAAGAAAGAGAACAGGACAAAGAAAACTTTTGTTTTGAATGGATAAACTGTGGGAATAAAGAACAGAAGAAGGAAAAGTGTGAAGGACCTGGAAGTGAGCTTTGTAAGGAAGATGGAAGAGTCGAGGGGGAGGAAGAGGAGGGTGAAGAGGAGGCCGGTGGGGGGTGTAAATGTGGCCCAGTGACCAGCGGCTGGAGGGAGACATGATAACCTACAGGGGCAGAGGTCAAACTCGTCAACGTGGGCGAGCTCTACAGACACGGACATCAACAAGCGGCACTGCAAAAACCACGACGACACAGCAGCTGCACTCAAAAAAAAAAAAAAAAACCCACAGCAAAAACCATGGCAACGACATGGCAGCAAACTCATTGCCTTGGCAACAGCGTAGGACAGCATCGTTACTGCAGTTCAGCCAAACCCAAGCTGGAAAAAGCGACGTTACGCCACATTAATCCACCAATTTCTGCAGCAACAGCTAAAAGGACTTTGGGACAGCAACAAAACAAACAGAGTTTGGGAAACGAGTCGCTGCAAGGCTGACAGAAAAACTCAACCGAAAGTGAACATTACAATCCCAAAGCCAGAAAATCTGATTTCATGTGAATTTTTGTTTAGGAGGGAAAAATAATCAACAGAAAAATTCCTACTGCTACATTTCTCTTGTTTACTAGAGAGAAGAATGGCAGCTAAAGGAGCAGCAGGCTAACTAGCCTAGCCAGAGAAAATCTACTCAACAGGCACGATTTCTTCTAAAAATTGTAAATTAAGCAGATTTTTCTGTGTACATTTGTAAGAAATAACTGGAAAAGCAAAAATATTTTAGACAATGTACTTAATCCCAACCAAAAATAAAAATATCAAGTCGTTTCCATGAGTACAATAATAGACTTCACACACCTACCCACTTCTGTTAGAATCTACCAATAAATATATTTTCTACTGCTGCTACAATAATTTAATGTTAGTTTTTATTTAAACAGAAAAGTAATTCCCTGCTGCTTATGATCCAGTCACACACTTTTTGCATAGTTCATTGAACCAATAGAAACCAGCCATTTCTATTGGCTGGTTAGAGTTGGTGTCGATCGTTTGTGCAGCAAAAATGTTTGTTAGTGCCGCTATCATTTTAAAGATACTAAGAAATGTTTCCAGAGGTCATGATCGACACCAATTTTGTCTGATTTGAAGAAGGTGGGCAGCCAACTTCACTCGGTCATAAAACAGCAGTGGCACAAAATGCTGTGACATTTTTGAGGTTGGATTTGTTTTACACTGAAGCTGCGAGGCGATTATTAAGTCTAAGTAACAGTAAATACTTACAACCTTTTCTTTTAACAGAACCCGACACCAGTAACTGTTAACTGCCACTTTAACGCTGATTAAATTTCTTTTTTCAATCAGATGGATTGTCTGTCTGGGTTTTTAATGATTCGCTCATATTGTGACATTTACCAGATATTAGATCCCCGTTTTTAACTTTAATCAAAAAAAAAAAAAAAATCTATATTTCTGTTATTTGTAGTTTATTTGCTCCTCTGTTTCTTCAAGGTCAGGCAGGCAACTGCAGCAGAAACCAGTTTCTTCCTCGGGGTTTTAAATCCCTCCCAAGCTTCAGAAAGTCGTTAAGCCTACAAATTTCACCTGAGGGCCCTCTAACATGCAGGCATGCCTGGAAGACTTTTAAAGCTTTGAACCCAGAAGGCGTCATAATGAGATCCCTGGACTACCTGGGTTCTCTTAATGAGCGAGGGTTCGACTCCAAGCTAAACATTTTACAACAAAGTTAGTTAGCAGCAGTAAATCATCAGCCCAGAGGAGTTATCCACCAACAGAGGGCGATAGAGAGGCGGAGCTACAAACTGTTGAGAAATCCAAGCTGGCAAATAACAAGCGATAATTTTATACCCAGTATAAATTAAGAAGTCCGTATCCCACCCAGTTCTGTGTTTATAGCAATTATTTGTGGAGTACTTGGCATCCAAGAAGCTGAGTTACCACGACAGACTACAGCAGCTATGCAACAGGCCTGTTTTTATAGCGCTGGCGAGCTTTTCCATCCACGTTTGTATACAGAATTACATGTCAGTCTTAAAATAAAATAGACTCGCATTACTGGTCTGTAATTGTCTCGACTAAAAGAAGCAGCGACGTTGCATCAGAGGCCAAACGTTACAGATCTACAGACTCTGCTGCACATTTTCACACCACAAGCCTTTAACTAGACCGTATACATGCACACGAAGGCCGGGGATGAAAAAACAAACTACAAATAATAGTTAATGTAGTGGTTGCAGACTCAGCAGAATGTGAGTACATTTGCCGTCATCCATCATCTCTGTACTGTAGGCATATGATCACTCACAGATACAGCATGTGGGCTCATAAGCCGTCTCTCCTCTCGCTGCTCTCTCAACAGCATCTCACGTCTAAGTTTGGACAGTGAGGCTGTCCCTCCGACGCCGCCGTTCGCCACCATCACGCTGTGTGTGTTACGGCCTGAAGCGTCCTCAGGAACCAGACACCGAGCCCTGCGGACCCGCATGCTGCTGGGCTTGTTACCGCGGCTATTTTAAAACGCCGCCGCCGGCTGATGAAGTGTTGACAAACTCACTTTGGGTTGCTATGACTTCAAGAGGCAGGTCACTTTCATACAGAAGAGTAACAACAAAACCTGATCTGACCTCTTGTTATGATTAAAAATATTCCTGTTGTTTCATCTTATTTTCTTATTAGGATGCAAAGAGTCAATGCGTTACCAGGGTAACCACGCAGACTAACCTGATGCTAAAAAACAAGAATCGCAATAATTTTAATACTATTTCCAATATCGAGTGGATTACAGAACTGAAAACACTTAAACTCAAACTGAAAGGTCACAGCTGCAGACTGAGTGGAAAAATCTATAACGGGTCTGATGTATGTTCACATACCAGAGTTTCTAGAAAGTTGAGGAAAGTCTAGAATTTGATCCAGGAATTAACTCTGGATAAGTATGAGAGAATAAAACTGAATACAGAAACTAACTTAGTAAACGTTTTATTCCTCCCATCAGTCTGGATCGTTCTATGAATTTTGCCAGTCAGAAAAACATCTGACTGCATTTTTAATTGGGATCCTAAAAGTTATGCGGTTGGAGATTTTTTCATTCTCCAAGACATGTATTTCAAAAATAGCAAAACTAGGGCTTTATATTTCTGAATATTTGGGTATTCAAGCAACAAACATATTGAAGCGTAACTATAAACCGTGACACAAACGCGTCGCCTTTATTTTCCCTTTTCGTGAGGCTCTAAAGAACTGACACGTCTATCTTTTGACATGTTTTTACCAACTTATCAGCAGGGTACATTATATTCTTTAAGCGCACAACTCGCACAAACCCAGAGTGAGCAAGCAAGCCTCCAAGGAGCGAAATGCAAACAGGCCTCATCAATCAGCCGAGTGTGTAAGAGACTGCAGGGACAGCAAGACCGAGTGGAAGCTTAGCAGATTAAATATCCACATAAACCTTTGCCACATCGTCCACTGGGCCGGGACACACACAGACACAAGCAGCACAAGATTGGGACTGAGAGGTGAAGAAGTTGGGAATGAGCAGGGAGGAGATGATGTGAGGGTGTGTCAAAAATGGAGGTTAATAGAATGATGTTAGTGTTGCATCGAAAGCTAATAAAACGACGCTTCACTTGAGTTCAGGGGTTAAAAGATGATGAGAAGTGAAAATCCATCCGAACGAAGAGTGATAAAATAAAATTCAAGCAGCTTTCGCTTCGTCGAATGTTAATCTTTTTCGTAGTTCTGGATGGATTTTCTCTCGCCGCCGCGTCGATGCTTACTGATTTGCGGATGTTGACGCGGGGCTTGGGGACGGGCTTGCCGGGTTTGCTGTCGAAGCTTTCGGGGAGCGTCGCCGAGCCGTGGCCGCTCTTCCTGGCTTGCAGAGCGAGCTGATAGGCCACCTCAAAGGCCTGGCCAAGCGTCAGGATGATCTCATAGGCCAGATTCTGGAGAGAGAGAGGAAGCATTTATGAGAACAGGAAGGTTAAAAGCCACGAAGCGCCCCGTGAAGCCGCGGCGGCAGGACTGACCACGTCGAAAGCAGTGAAGACGTGGCAGTAGTGGTGACTGGATTTGAGGTCTTTGGTGATGTAGGCAAACGTAGACAGATCTTCTGGATCCTGAGCTGCACACGAGATGTTGCGGATCTCGTGCTCCGCTATGATGTTCTGCAGAGGGAGGAGAGGAGAAGGAGCTTAAAAAGACGCAGTTTCTTCAAAGGAAAACAAACTGATTTATTATTTATCCCACAATCATAGTTAATATTGCAGAGTATTGGTTTGAAAGTTTTTAGAAGTGACTGCTGGTGTTCCTTTTCTGGTTTAATCAGCACTTTGTGTCGCGTTAATTAAGGCAATAAATTATACATCATCTAAGGGATGGATTGTTTTTTGTACGAAGTTAAGAATATTTAAAAGTTACACCAGATTTTCTTTAGAAGGAAGATATAAATGCTTATTGTGAGATAATATCAGTGGGGGACGTTTCACTCGACATCAGGTGAACTTTTGGTCTTTGACGCAGAAAATTAAGGATCGCAGTAAAGATTTAACAGATATTTATCACTGCTTTTATGAGCAAAGTGGTTCAACTCTACAGATTATAGACAGACTGTGTAATCTATGACGTCCATAATCTGTTGGTATAACGGATCGTATTTACACCAGTCAGCTCTGCATATTTCCCTCCAAAATAGATGCCATCAACTTTTTGGAGTTAGGTGATCACAGATGTCTTTTTGTGATTTTTAACTTCTTCCATTCACTATGTTTTTGACCCATACTGTATCTCCAGATCTGTGTTTGGACCTTTTGTGTCGGAGGTTTTCATACGTCACTAAATTTTACTGTCTTGGTAAAACCCTTATATGAATTGGTGTTATTTTTTTACACTATTCATGTTTTAGTGTTTATTCCTGACATCCTCCTCATCAGTTCCCTAAAGATGGCGGCCTGTTTTAAAGCCGAAGAATAAACCAAACTTCCACACTTTGATCCTGTTTAGAGTCAGACGTGATGCCTCTGAATGCCACTCTTCCCTTCATGTTCGCTGACCTTTCACGTGTCATTTAGCGTAGGCGTCGCTGGGACTGCGCGCCGTTACCTTATTGGTGGCGTCGATGAACTTCACTCCCTTGTAGGACACGGAGAGGACGATGGTCGGCACTTTCTTCATCTGTTCCGTCGACTTCTTGGAGGGCAGAGGAGACAAAACGCGGAAACAGAAAGAAGAGGCAGCTGTGATTTTTAAACTTTGCATCGGTTTGCCTCAGCCTAAAGCGTAGCGCCGTCTGAGAAAGCTCCTTCAACTTCCTCCTCCATGAAAAGCATATCATCTCCTCGAGAACCAACAGAAAATAAATGTTAAACCAGCAGCAGGCGTTTTCTATACCACGTGGCACTTCATTAAGCCCCTGCAGTATATCTCACCTCATTCTTTTTAATTACACACACATATTGAAGAGATTATGCAGCAAAGAGCTCGACCTGCCAAAAGCTGTTATACATTCAAAGACGTGAGCAGAGTACTTCTCTCTTTCTTCCACATTTAAAAACAATTTGTCCTTCATGAGAATCTACTGCCTGCTTTATTTTCTAGATCTTTCTGTTCTCTAGTTCATCCTCTCTGCAGCACATCGACCCAGTTACCAACAGGTTATGCCAAAAGATCTGCCAACAGCGGCTGCATTTTGCTATGAACCTGGAAGTTAAACGTCTCCGTTTCCATCAAGGGATGGATAAAAGGAGCTGCTGGGACAGGTGAGGCAGGTGGAGGTGCATTAGCAATGTGCATCTCATTGCACTTCCTTTGCAACCTTGGCGTGTTGCAAAGGGGTTGGCCGAGCAACGCTGCAGAAAGCTGAGAGGAAAGATGCTGCAATGAAAATGGAGAAAAGAGAACGGGACGCTCTGCTCATGAATTTTACACTGCAGCAGGTCGGAAAGAGAAGAAGTCTGGGTTGCAGTAGGAGAAACACAATAAGCTGTTATAAAGAGGAACAGCCAATGATAGAACACTTATTTTTAAAAATAAGGACAATTTAATCTATTTTTTCGCCTGGATTAAAGCTAATGGCACAATGTTCCAGAGGTTACATAGGTTTAATGGAAAAGTTATTTGACAGGAAGGATTTTTTAGGCCTTTGTGAATATGACTTAAACTTTTCGCCTTATCTTGGCATCTTGTTGTCTGCAGGTTAAAACGTAGAAAGGAAGAGCATCAGACTGAGCTTTACCCTCATTTTAGCGCAGGCATCTTGTGTGGACTCCGTCCCTCTCAGCTCCTTCACCAGCATGGAGCCCAGGTACTGTAGAAAACACACACAGAAGCTGTTGGCTTGTTTGTCAGCACCAGATTACAGCAGCCTAATTAAAACCCTGCTGGATGCATTGACAGGTCAACAAATGCAGTTAAGAGAGAGACAGATTGTAAAGTTTCCTTCCATCTAAAAAGTTATGGAAACCTGGTTTTTATTACGGTCAAATTTGATTCTTTTCAAGAAAAAGGAACAAGCATCATGATCCAAATTCATCCTGTCAGCTCTGAGTGCAGTTTTGACGAAGATGATGAAACAGTCAGAGTCGTCTTCCAGTGATGAACGGACCGTCCTGCTGACATTAACAGCACCAGCAGGATTCTCTCTGCCTGGATCCTGAGTACCGACAGACACTCAACAGCTTATAGAGGAGACCTTATTCTCTAAAGTGGGAACAGAACAAGGCTTTCAGTGAATTAAAGGGGAAGGACCTGAAGATTTTAGGTCTCATCTGTTCAACTTTGCTCCAAATGACTCAGATAAAGTTCTTCTTATTGACTTCTTACCTTTCATTTTACATCTTTGGGTCGTTTCCTTACTGATATCAGGAAATTGGCTGGAAATGTTGATGTTTTGCCCTGAGTGGAGCTAATAACATTAAATGGTTGTCATGTCAGAGTTGCTGGCAGCTGTCCTGGTAATTGCGTTACGCCGTGTCCCCGTGTCAGTCACTGCTGTGCAGCGAAACGTCTTTTTATTGGCTTCAGGTTCCCCTCACAAGGATAGAGCGATAAAGCTGGACTCTGTCGTCACGCCAACATGAGTTTACAAAAACGCCAATTTGTTTTTTTTTTATTATTCCAGCAATAGTAATATTTTATATTGACCTTCATGTTTTTTGGGATCCCATCTAAATATTTCAAAAGGTCTCAGTCAGGTTTACAGTCAGCAATCACTAAAAAGTTTAAAACCACTAGAACAAAAAAGATTGGACAGAAACTGGAAATGATTACTCTTACTGTAAATAACTTTAGTCAAAAATTGTTTGATTGAGAACAAAACTGGAGAAGTGAGACAACCGAGGTTGGACAAAAAGTCATTAAGTTTGTATTACATCTTTATTTTTAAAAAGTGACGTTTCAGTCTCTCCAAGTCTACATTCAGTCGTGAAAAACAGGTTTTTATTACGTTTTCTCCGTCTTGTGAATCCAATATAAGAGATTGTGCTATGTTGGATTTATGTTCCAAAGTTTTAAGTTGTTATTGCTTGGATGGATCATGTTGGCCGCTAACGATGGCGCTAATAACGTTAGCATGACTTCGCTAAACTGTGAGCTGATGCATTTCCTATGCTGTGGCTGTAAGCTTTGTTTGCCGAACAGCCTGCACCGATTCTGGCTTTTTACCA